TTTAAGACATACTTTTTTTTTTGCCTTTTGATGAGTTTTGTTTAGAAAACTAACGAATTGAGTCAAATATAATATGATATTTGGAATCAACATTGAAAGTTGAGTTGGACTATCCGGTATTACAGGTCTTTTCACGAACTTAATTTTTTTGAAAAATTTGCCTATCATCCTTCTCACGGATGTGTTCTCAAAAAAATTTGTTTCCCATTGTTGAATCAAAAGAAATTACATTCGTTTCATTATGTTACATAAGTTTTTTTTCTTAAAATACAATTTACAAAGATGATCATCATAATGTTGAGTTCTTTTTTTTCAATTCAGTTATTTTAACACTTTACATGATAAATTTCATTTCTATTACATAATGTAAAAATTGTTCTTCTATGCAACAGATTTTCTTTTCTCATAATACATCACCGCGAACATTTTAACTTAACGGGAAAAAGAAAATGTTTCTTAACAATGTATTGACAATATTTCTTTTATATCACATCTCATTTATAATCAAAAGTCTTGTATTAATATATCATTGTCTTTTCGTTTGTACATATTTATCTTTTCTGGTTAATTGTGTGAATCATATTTTTTAAAAGTAAAATAAAACAATTTATTCGTTTGCACTCAGCTCATAAATAATCGATTAAGATCGAACGTATTTTATTGTACATTATGAAACTATTAGCATTCGAAATTTACAGTAATGACATACTGAATTCTGATAAAAATTTTTATCTTATTCATTTTATTTATCACACAGTGATGAATGAATATAGCTTAGTGGTTATGTTATTCGACACTTACTATTATACTACTGTGTTCGAACCTCGGCGTTGTCAAATTTATTGATCATATGTAAAGAAAAAAGGCTCGAATTAATAAAGATGAAATGTTTACTTTTGTTTTGATCATATATATATATAAGGAGCTGCTCTCTGCCCTCGGATAGTTCAAATCTATTCTAGGTTTCGTATGCAGCTAATAGAAATCATTTCGATCAAAATATCTTCATAATTTAAGAATATAACTAATTATGCTTGTTCTATAATATTTTGATCAACAAATAAAATTGTTTTTCTTTTTCTGTTCAAGAAATACTTCGAATTGAAACAAATAAAAAAAAAAATGATTGTCTTTTATATATAGCTGAAAAGTCTTTTCTCGTAGACAAGCTTCTGTTATAATATAAAGTTAACCAGATAGGTTTTTCTTTTTTTGACAAGACAAACGTGAAGTGAATGAGTTCAATTAGACATTAATAAAAAAAGACTTGGTTTTCTTCATACGATGAGTTTTTTTCCCGTAGATTATGTAAGGAAAAAAAGAGTTTTCTTAGTGATGCAAAATGAATCAACTTTTTTTTTTCCTTAAAACTTTATACATTTCTGTATTACATAATTCTTCAAGAAAGAACAGACATTTCCTTTTTAACTGACGCATTTTACTTGCTTCAACCTTTCTTTTTTTTTTTCATTGTATTATTAATCTCATCATTGTTACAATGTTCAATAATATAACATGTTTATGTCAACTATTTTGACCGAAAGAAAAAAAGAAACAAAATAGCCTTGAGTTGCCTTTACATTTTATAACCTCGACGTTCTTTGATTCATCCTACCACACAGTACGAGATGAAGCTTTTTATACCGATTTTGATTCCTCGTTTTTTCTTTTTTGTTGTAAAAAAAAAAGAGAAAGACCTTATCATGAGAAAAGTGAAAGAACAGAAAAAAAGCATTAGATAATTTTTTTTTGTTATATCTATATTTTCTGTTGATTTTCCTTTTAAGCATTTAATTTGATATAACAATCAAAAACAAACAAATGAAAGAACAAATTTTAATCTTATTCTTTCTTATATTTATCGAAAAAACTAAATGTTCATTTTGGAATGAAATACCTTCACGATGTATTTATGATCGAACAACATTATTTTCATGTTGGAATACAACATTTACTCATCCAATACCTTTATTTAATGATTTAACTTATACACTTCAAAATCATTATGTACAAATTCGTAATTCATATTTTCAATTATCATTAAATGATTTATTTGTTCATGTTGGTTCAAATATTGAAAGTTTAGAATTAATTAATAATACATTTTCATCATTATTATCATTTAATGAAGATGAAAAAATTTATTTTCGTCTTCTTCAATCATTACAAATTCATGATGAAAAAAGTTTACAATGGTTTCAATTAAATACATCATATTTTCCACAATTAATTAAACTTGATTTATCATATAATCAATTTACAAATGATAAAAAACTTTTATTTAATCAACAATATTTTCCTTTTTTAAAATATCTTAATTTATCACATAATCAACTTCAATCAATTGATAATTTAACTGGCAATTGTTTAAATAGAATTGAAAGTTTAATATTATCTTTTAATCCATTAAAAATAATCATTAATAAACTTAATCAATTTCAATCACTTATTTTTCTTGATCTTTCATCAACTTTAATTAAACAATTATTTAGTATAACATTATTACCACGTTTAGAAATATTTCTATGTTATTATTGTCAACAAATTCCAATGATAGAATATGAAAAATTTCTTTTAAATTGTTCACAATCTCATAATTATTTAATACTTGATTTAACAGAGACAAATATTAATTCATTAAAATTATTTAATCCATATATTAAATGTATTAAAGATTTAACATTTAATAATCAACATTTAATTGATTCAATATCAGCACAAGATCTTTTATTTAGTACAAATCTTCAAAATATTCAAATGCGAACAATTGATAAGATTGATTATATACATTTAAATGTTTATGATCGTTTAAAATCAATTGATTTTAGTTATAATATGAATTTAAAATATGTTAGTTTACATTTAATGTCTGATTATACTTATTTACAACGTTTAATATTATCACATACAACAGTCAAAGATTTTTCAGTTAATTTTAATAATACAATACAAAAATTTTTACATATTGATATAATTGACATGAGTTACAGTCGTTTAGAAACTCTTTATTTTCTTAAATATCTAACGTTTTATACCTTAGATGTTAGTTATAATCGTTTAAAAATTATTGATATTAATCAAATAAATTTTCATCATGGTATGTATGAATTAACTTTAATGAATTTATTAAATTTATCATCAAATGAAATGGAATTTATTAAAATAAATTGGAATAATGAATCTCCACATACTATTGATTTATCACAAAATAATCTTCAATCAATTGAATTACATGGTCAATCAACATATACACTTTTATTAAATAAAAATTCGAATTTATCTCTTACACCAATAACATTCAATATTGATTTACCTTTATTACAATATATCGATTTAAATTCTATTCATATTGATTCATTTGAAAATCTTATTTATTTACATAATCTATCAAATATTCATACATTACTTTTAAACAATAATCATCTTAATAAACAACATCGAACATTAAATTGGCATATTTTTTATCCTTGGCATCGAACTTTAACTCATCTTTCTCTTCAAAATATGTCACTTGAAAAAATTGATTCGGGTACTTATTTAAATGATTATTATCATTTATTAACAATTAATTTTTATTCTAATAATCATCTCAAATGTGATTGTACATTACAACCATTTATAAATTGGTTAAAAACTCCACCACCACCATTAATGGATTTTTATGAACCATTGCAAAAAGTATTAAGTATTAATTGTCCTACAGAACTATTTGAACTTGATTGTAATGTTGGAAAAACAAAATCAACATTATTTATAACATGTCTTATCATAGGAATATTTCTTATTATATTTTTAATCATATTTATACTTCTTTATTATTATAGAAAACAAAAACGTTCGAAATCCTATCATCATATGTCTACAGATAATGATTTAATAGCATTAACTGAACGAAATGTTATTCAAAATATTGATGATCAATGAACTTTAGTAATCATTGATTGTAATAGATTTGTTTTTTTTTTGTTTTGTCATTTACAAACAAATATATAAACAATACATCAATATACATATGAGAATAATTGACGCTGTTTTCATCATTTTATTAAAGACGTTTCATTATGAACTCATAACATCAACAGTCAGAAAATGAAATGAATGAACAACAAGACGAAAAAGAGTATCCATGTGAACACTACTAAGACAAAGATAAGAACAAAGACACAAATTAAAAGAAAACGTTTTCTTTTAATACAATTATTAATTTTTAACACCCCCCCCCCCCAAAAAAAACCAAATACTGTCTTATTTGTAATCACAATACATTAAGTATGAAGTTCTTCTGTGAATACACCTGTTTGTTTTTCTTTTAACTGTATCAATCCATAAGTAAACTTTCTTTAATATTTCTTTTTAAATCATTCGACTCTACAGCTAAGAGGTTAGTATCATAATTAGGGTGTGGGGTGTGTGTGGGTATGTGAGTGTGGGTGTTCTCTTCATCCACACGCACCCACATCTACACGGACATCCAGGTCCACACACCATTGCTTGTATCTATGTCTACATGATTATTACATGATGTCGTTGGTGTTGGTCGAGGTAACAATCTTGTTCGAGTTGGTGTTACATTTGGTATTGTTGTGTATATATTTTGATTCATCGCACGACTTCTTAGAGATTTATTTGTAAATGGATTACGTTGATCTAGTCTAAGTAAAGCAAAAGACAAAAACTAATAAAAAAATAGTGTAATTTTTACCTTGGTCGTCTACGTTTGTTTTTCTATGAAGAAGTAAGGTGCGGGAAATGCAAAATTTGAGTGAATTTTTTTTCTCGTTCG